CCTATCAATTATTATCGACCCACGAAAAGCTACTTAAAACCTGAATAATGTACATTTCAATACTGATTAGTACTCTGTATATTAATTTGTCACGTGGTGAATAGAATATTGTTGAACATTAAACTAAAAACTTTTACATAACTCGGATTTCGTCCGAAAAAAAAACACGAAAAGCACTATATTATTGAGATCTATTGATGGATAGTTTATATGAAGTTACAACGAACGTTTTGGACTAATTTGGAGGATCTTTTGTGGTTGTTGTATAGTGACCAACGGCTGCCCTCCGGACCGAATTATTGATACTAACATTCAAGTAAACTGATATCATAACCGGCCAACGGAATAGTCTACTCTTTGTGGTAAGAAACCACACTCATATTCAGAATAACAATGTGGAAATAAATATGGAGAACGATAGCTCAGACTACAATCGATTGCAAGACATGGATTTTGTAGGCCACTTATCTTCCAGAAAATCAAGATCTGACTATCAGGCCTTATTCTCATCCCACAAATCACGAATAACATCTTTTTAGATTAACAAACTCTCAGAGCAATTATCACAAATGAAAATCACCAGTTACCAAAGATTACAAATCAGAGGCTAATAAGATAAGTGCTTATTTAAGGCAATTCAAGAAGAAAACGAACGAATGTAAAGATAATACATCAGGAAATCCAATTATGACGTGAATCAGTACATAAGTATAGAGTAAACGTTTGATAAATAAAGTATGTAATGTAGAATATTAAATTGAGATGTTAGATACGGACAACAAATTGCTAATGAATAAAGAGACATAGTAGCGAGCAAAATTTCTAAAACAACAACAAGGTACACAATAGCATGTGTATAATAAGCCAGTATGTTAACACTGGAGAGACCAATTCACTGCTGCAAATCAGCGATTTTAAACAAAGTTTACCAACGGCTAGTCATTCATCAAGAAATGAGCTATAATATCTCGGTAAACTAGTGAAATACTTCTCTGGGATTTTTAAGATACTAATTTGACCATCTAATGAAATACAATAACTTTGAGTGAGATGTAGTCCTATAAAAGTTATGAGTTTCAAAATTGAGGGAACCACTTTAATACTAGGTGTAAACACTGCTTTTTTGTCTATTAGAAAATCAATATAGAACAAGACATGCTTCGTCAAAACCATAGTTTACAAAACTCCGCCTGTAGCTCTTATAGGGTTGCTGCCGGTCCCAAGCCCGGATAAAGGAGGAGGGTTGGGCATGGGGTTAGCGTCCCCATCCCGTAGAAAACTAACTCGCTAAAAAAACGCTTACCAGAAAAAATAATCCAAACCATTTTAACTCTGCCCTGGGAGTTAGAAGGTCTTCATTTAGAAGAATTATGACGCTTCATGGTGAAAGCCGAGTTCCTTCGGAAGCCACGAGGCCGATGCCCCTTCTAACAACCAGAGCAAAAATTTTTATAGGTACATGGAACGTTCGAACAATGTGGGAAACCGGGAAGACCAGTCAAATATCAATGGAAATGAGGAGATACAACTTAGCAGTACTGGGAATCAGCGAAACCCACTGGACCCAAGCTGGACAGAAAAGGCTAGCTACGGGAGAGATGCTGCTATACTCCGGTCACGAAGAGGACAATGCTCCACACACTCAGGGAGTCGCTCTTATGCTGTCCAAAGTAGCACGAAATGCACTTGTAGGATGGGAATCTCATGGATCCAGAATCATCAAAGCATCATTCAAAACAAAGAAGGAGGGGATCTTAATGAATATTATCCAATGTTATGCACCCACCAATGATAGCAACGACGAAATTAAAGATCAGTTCTACGAGCGGCTGCAGTCAGTGATAGAGAAATGCCCAAGAAAAGACCTCACTATTCTGATGGGAGATCTCAATGCCAAAGTCGGAATAGACAACACTGGATATGAAGATATTATGGGACGACATGGACTGGGAGAAAGAAACGAAAATGGAGAAAGATTTGCAAATCTATGCGCATTCAACAAATTGGTCATAGGAGGCACAATATTTCCACACAAGCGTATACACAAGGCTACATGGATCTCACCGGACCACACTACAGAGAACCAAATAGATCATATTTGCATCAACAAAAAATTCCGAAGGACAATGGAAGATGTGAGAACCAGGAGAGGTGCTGACGTAGCTTCAGATCACCACCTAGTTGTAGCCAATTTGAAACTGAAGCTAAAAAAGAACTGGACAAGTGGACAAACAGCAATACAAAGGTTCAATACAGCCTTCCTTCGAGATACTGTCAAACTCAATGAATTCAAGATAGCTCTCAACAACAGGTTCCAAGCCTTACGAGATCTACTGAAAGAAGAAGAAACTACTATGGAGGACAACTGGAAAGGCATCAAGGAAGCATTAACTTCAACGTGTCAAGAGGTTCTCGGTCTAAAGAAATACCATCATAAGGAATGGATCTCTACAGAAACAGTGGACAAGATCAAAGAAAGGAAGAACAAGAAGGCAGCAATAAACAACAGCCGAACACGAGCAGAGAAAGTCCAAGCACAAGCTGAATACATAGAAGCAAACAAACAAGTGAAGAGGAGCATTAGAGCCGACAAGAAGAAATACGTTGAAGAACTAGCAACGACGGCAGAAAAAGCTGCTAGAGAAGGAAACATGAAACAGCTTTACGATACAACGAGGAAACTATCAGGGAAATACAGTAAACCAGAGAGGCCGGTCAAAGACAAAGAAGGCAAGCCAATCACCGAAATTCAACAACAGCGTAACAGATGGGTAGAATACTTCGAGGAACTCCTGAATAGGCCGGCTCCAATGAATCCAGTGGACATCGAAGCAGCACACATAGATCTTCCTATAGATGTCAATCCACCAACTACGGAAGAAATTAGAATGGCCGTCAGACAAATCAAGAACGGGAAAGCAGCAGGACCCGACAACATACCAGCTGAAGCATTGAAATCAGACATCGAAGCAACCACAAGCATGCTTTATCTTCTATTCAAAAAGATTTGGGAGGAGGAACAAGTGCCGATGGACTGGAAAGAAGGACACCTCGTCAAGATTCCAAAGAAAGGAGATCTGAGCAAATGTGAAAACTACAGAGGCATAACACTACTGTCAATACCAGGGAAAGTCTTCAACAGAGTGTTGCTGAACCGGATGAAGGATGCAGTAGACGCCCAACTTCGAGATCAACAAGCTGGATTCCGTAAGGATCGGTCGTGCACAGACCAAATTGCAACACTACGGATCATCGTCGAACAATCAGTTGAGTGGAACTCATCATTATACATCAACTTCATTGATTATGAAAAGGCATTCGACAGTGTAGACAGGAGGACGTTATGGAAACTTCTTCGACACTACGGAATTCCTGAGAAGATTGTCAATATAATCCAGAACTCATACGACGGACTACAGTGCAAAGTAGTGCATGGAGGACAGCTGACAGATGCATTCCAAGTAAGGACCGGAGTCAGACAAGGCTGTTTACTCTCTCCCTTCCTCTTTCTTCTGGTGGTCGACTGGATTATGAAGACCTCGACATCTGAAGGAAAACACGGAATACAATGGACAGCTCAGAATCAATTAGACGATTTGGACTTCGCAGATGACCTAGCCCTCCTATCACGTACACACGAACAGATGCAGATGAAGACAGCCAGTGTAGCAGCAGTCTCTGCATCAGTAGGCCTCAGCATACACAAAGGAAAAACTAAGGTCCTCAAATTCAAAGCGGAGAACAGCAATCCAATCACTCTTGATGGCGAAACTCTGGAAGATGTAGAATCCTTCACATATCTGGGAAGCATCATCGATGAACAAGGAGGCTCAGATGCAGACGTAAAGGCGAGGATCGGCAAAGCAAGGGTCGCATTCCTACAATTGAAGAACATATGGAACTCAAAACAACTTTCAACCAATATCAAAGTGAGAATCTTCAATACGAACGTCAAGGCAGTTCTACTGTATGGAGCTGAAACTTGGAGAACTACAACAACCACAATCAAGAAAGTACAAGTATTTATAAATAGCTGTCTTCGCAAGATACTCAACATCTATTGGCCGGATACCATCAGCAACAGCCTTCTGTGGGAGAGAACAAACCAACTTCCAGCTGAAGAAGAAATTAGGAAAAGACGATGGAAATGGATAGGACATACATTACGCAAATCGTCAAACTGCATCACGAGGCAAGCCCTAACTTGGAATCCTGAGGGAAGCGAAAAAGAGGAAGGCCAAAGAACACATTGCGTCGGATAATAGAAGCAGATATGAAAAGGATGAATTACAACTGGACGGAGCTAGAAAGGATTGCCCAGGACAGGGTTGGATGGAGAACGCTGGTGAGCGGCCTATGCTCCTTCACGAGGAGTAACAGGCGTAAGTAAGTAAGTAAGTAATAGTTTACAAAACTTTCCTGAAGAAGTTCAGTATTATCTCTTGAAGGAACCTAGGACCTCAAAGACTCACGGTGAGCACGATATGTTTAGCTGGTTTAGATCTAAATTCAGCTTTATTCTCCTCCTAGCTAATGCCACAGGTTGGAATTTTCTGGTACAACTTCAGGTATGAAATTTGTACAAGTTGCCTAAAAAACGGATTTATGCACTTGGTAATAACTAAATATGAGATAGTTTTGTGACTAAGTTTAATCCGAATAGTTAATTGTTTAAAACTTTTTATTTTGACGAATTTTAATGGTCTGGATAAGAAAGCTTATTCATCAAGTGGTAAACGCTTCAAGTGACGCTATCTATGATTAAAATAAAATATTTCTAAACAAATTTGATATTAGTTTTAGTTGAATTTATTCAATGTGAACAAATAGATGTGGTTTTTTTCAGAGACAGTTTTTGCTTGCCAACCTATGTTTTATTTAGCTTAACTTGTCATAAATGAGAACCGATATAATCAGTAACTGTAAGTGATAATCTGTACAACCATCATTAATTAAGCCATCAATAAGCATTCTTCCTTCAAAAAACAAACTAGCTTACATTTCGATAACAATGAGTCTATTATTTGACTTCACTAGAAATTAACATTTTTAATCCGTTAGAAAAACCCAAATTTCGTAGACAATACAGATGGCTGAAGTTATATTTTCAGATAGTTTGACAAAAATTATCATGAAATTGTGATACCGACGGTTAAAATAGTTTGAAAAACGTGTTTACTCCAAAAGGAAATACAATTATAGGATAAGTAAAAATGCCAAAACTACAATATATCCAATGTATAGTGTTATAATCGTTAGGGAGAAATGTATACAATATGTTGTATGAGAATATTTGTACACTTGCTTTGCGATTTGAGATGGTATAATGGGCATTTATACATATCTAATAGAATTTATTAGAAAACCAGCTTATACACTCTACACTACACTGGTAGAAAAATGGGTCGGTGTATGTAACAAAATATGATCAACGAACATACAAAATTAAAAGAGAAAGACTACATATGGCAAACAATGATTTGTAGCTTACTGATAAAGTTTTTGGATCATAATTACAGTAATCCGTGGAACAGTAACAACGCTTTTGTGTTGACGAACTTCCGTACGTCTGAAAGCATGTGTCTGAAAATGATGGTTCGAACTTTCTGAGACATAATCTGGAAACGGTTTTTATTTCATGGTATTGTTGTCCCCATCTAGGTTTTCGAAAGTCGATTCTTTGGACTTCCTCTATTTTGATGCAAGCCTTGCAGCCATCAAGCTTCTGCCACGGTCCACTTGATTCATCACAGGGCCAAAGAGACATTTTACGTTCTCTGTCTACTATCTCACACTCATAGCAGCTTAAATTATTCACTGAAAGACAATCAAAGATATTAAAATATATCAAAAGTAATCCAAGAAGAAAATTAAACCATTTCATTTGCAAGTGTTTCCCTTAAGACACTAACAACCTAAGAATGCGGAAATGTATGCATCTTCCTTTATGAGCCAATCAGAGTAGAAAGCAACTCCTACTTGTTTACTTTAAGAAACCGTCCAATCAAAATTCCGCACTCGATTTGATTTCAACGTCAAGGTCAAATTAAGGCCACATTGTATTGCGTGTTAGTGTCATGCCTTAACGCAAGCAATGACTGTCAGCTACGGCAGTCTCATAGCAACCGTCAAGTATGGGTCATTTTTCCGTCTGCTTTTTCGATGGCGTGGAAGTCTTTATAAATTAGTATGGCCCGGTTTACTAGTTTACTGCTTCTTTTACGCCGTTGTAGCGATCGCTTATCACTCTATACCAGATGAACCGGAATATCGGAATGCCAGGCTTCTTTTTGTCCAAATATGCTACATCGCTGGACGTGTAACAAATGCTGTCCCATTATCCTTCGTTTTGGCATTTTATGTGAACTTGGTAGTTAGTCGATGGTTGCAGCAGTTCCTTTGTTTACCAACTCCTGATGCGATATGCGTACTTTTATCGGCCTATTTAGGTGAAAATCCTCATCTCAATGATCACAAAAAAACAGAAAACAGCGAAGAAAGAGCGTTGATTTTCAGAAGGACGATTAGCCGTTACGTCAACTTAGCTTCTGCTTTATGCTTTTGCTCAATATCTGTTGGCATGAAACAACGATTCCCGACTCTTGATAGTTTGGTCATATGTGGCTTAATGACTGAACAAGAACTAGAAATTTATTCCAACTTGGAAGAGTCAACAAGCAACTTTTTCGTTCCATTGGTATGGGCCATTTCTCTGATTACGAAAGCTCACGAAGAAAATATGATACGCGAAGAAAGACACGTGGATGCATTAGTCAATCAGGTGGTAGAGTTTTGGGAAAAATTGTATAAACTGTGCATGTACGACTGGGTAAATGTACCTTTAGTTTACAATCAGGTCAGTACTATGTCTTTACATTGCATATAATTCGTACTATATTTCCGGGTATAATCAATTAATTGATAGTGCTACTTATATAATTATTTATTCTAGTTAGAAAATCAATTCATTTCTGCATAGTTCTTATGCTGACAGCATCTAGGAAATACAACAGGATATCTATCAGAATCTGTCAAGAACTGATGTAGGAGTAAAATAAAAGTTTGATGGAAATAGGGTCAGTTTCTTTTGTGCTTTACCAATGAATTCTAATCTTACACAATTCCACCAAACTTTCTACACAACAGAAAGCTACTTTGCCATTTGTTATTGTCGATTGTAAACAATTGGTTGCAATTTTGTTGTTTACTATTAAGCTTTATCATTTAGTGTGATGAAAAGTTACTAGCATAAATTGTAATACGGATTGTGACTGTCTGTCATTTTCTGATGAGTCCTGAAGTACATCAAAGAGATGGTGACATAGGTATAATATTGAGTACTACTCCATTCTTAGTGAAGTCTCGCACTCGACACACTTAAACTAGGTGTAACTACATCACCCATAAGCGAAACCAAAGAGAATCCTAAAGTACAGTTTATTAGTGTACGCTAAACTATAAACCATGCAGTTTTACCAAACTCAAGGTACTAAGCTTGTGGAGAGTTATATACTTGATACTTAAAAATCAGGTATATGTTGCCAATATTTTGGTGCGTGCCCTAAATATTGTGTAACCTATCCGTTTTTTCACTCAGTAGTTTAATGATGAATACTGGAACAACATTATTATGGTGAGTCGATGTTATGTCATTATCGTATCGTAATTTCATCTTGCACAGCAAGCACTTTGTACCACTGAAATCCAAGGTAATTCTATAGAATGAGGAGTCCGTTGTCGTAATAACGTTTTGTCAGGTATTAATATTAATAAGTTTTAGGGTTTTCTTAGTTTTAGCGTTTTCACGGAAATTTAGATATATATCGCTATTGTGCGAAAGTTATTCTTAAAGCTCATGAGACCTAGCCTTCATGGTTTTTTAACTTTATGTGGAATCGTCGTTATCTTTGAAAAAGTATCCACATTTGATGGCAACACTATGTCCATGTTTAACAACCCCTTCGAGATAAGAAAGACAATGATTCTATCGGTTTCTTTTCCTTGATATAGTAGTTTCCGTGCTTTAGGTGCGTTTTACACTCGTCTAAACAGCTTCACTAACGCCGTTAAGTATAGGATAGTCATTACAGTCGTATTTGTTATTTTATAACAATTCTGTGAATAGTCTTCTCAAAATGGTTACTGTCGTGTGATGTAAATTATGACTCGAAATATAAGCTAGTAACTATTTTGCTCCATTTTGTAGCAAAAAGTCTAAGGCTTGGTTAAAAGTGTGTTGATCATATATACTCCGTTCATTAGACTAAAACAAGTTAACTCTCAGAATAACTTTATTTATTTGGTACATTTTTATTCACATTATTTCTAAAGGATTTGCTCAGGTGGTGTATAACTCTACTGAAATATTTTACCTCCAAGCTGGACGATCATAAATCTATGTTCCATAAGTAAGTGACAACAGTTGTTCGACTAGCTTTTTCCAACTTGCGTCATTTATGGCGTGAGCGAGATATCCGTCTATCAACCAAAGGACGTGTTTACTGCGCAGCAGTTCGTTCCGTCCTACTTTATGGCAGTGAAACATGGCCGGTAAGAGTAGAGGATATCCGTAGGTTACTAGTATTCGATCATAGGTGTCTTCGAAATATTGCTCGTATATCCTGGGACCATCGAGTAAGTAACGCAGTTGTTAGGAAACGGGTACTAGGTACTAGGATGGCAAATCAGTTGATGACATAGTGAAACTTCATCAGTTGAGATGGCTGGGACACGTGTTACGTATGCCCAACTACCGACTGCCTCGATGTACGATGTTTTGTTGTATAGGAAGTAGGTTGGAAGAAAGGTAGGGGCGGCCAAACCAAAACATGGCAAAAGTCCATGAAGTCACTGACAAGTGGACTGAGTCATGTTGGTAGGTGTAGACTACCTGGTTGGAGACCGCGAGATGATAGCAACCGATGGTTAGAGACCCTGAATGACATGGCTCAAAATCGTTTGCAATGGCGCAGGTGCATCCACTCATTGTGTTCTCCCAAATTCTAATCTGAATTCTTCATGTCCCTTTCTTTTTTTCACTTTCCAAATTTATTTCGCTGGATTATACTCTTTGAATAACATCTGCAAACCCTAATTTTTCTGATTACAGCTTATAATTTTACTACATCTAGCACTACGGGATTTGAATCGACAGTTGTATCTCTGTGCTAATGTGGTGTGGCAACTCGAACTGATGTACGTACGTACGAAGTTCTACGTTGTTACTGACTGACTGACTGACAGTTGTTTGGGTTGGTTGTCCTTTCTTAATAACATTATTTGAGTTTATCTTATAATTTTATTTCGAGACATATTTCTTTATTCATGTCATATGAAGCTAAACCATTTTAGCGTTTTCTTATGAGATTTCTCTGTTAGACGAAAAGTAAAAAAGAGGCGTATAACCAAGATTTTTTACATGTTTTTCAGACGCAAACGTGATTTAAACTCTTTCACATTATTGTTTAGCATAACAATTAGAAGTTAGATGTGTTAACACTTCCTGTACCAATTACTCTGACAATCATATCTATTCTGGTGGTCTTTTTCCAAGTGAAACTTATAGTTTCAAGAAGTCAGCATTCATCAATCGCTGTGACGCTGAAATATTTTGATGTTGATTAACTAAAAAGCTGTACAGATCAAAAGTACTTTTGTTTACATCTGTTATATAAAGCTTCAAGGAATATGATGTTTTCGGAGTACTGTTTGATATTCACTGAACGAGTTTTATCTCATAGTTAGACTATTAGTATGGTAGTAAAATAAACTGTATGGACTTGTCATGTTCTAGCTGAAAGACAAAAACGTTTGTCGCTACACATTAGTGCATTAGTCCAAGTTGTCTCATGTTATAACATAATATTAAGTGATGAAGAGGGAAAAACATCACTATGGTTCATAGTAGAACCATTGGTAGTATTGAACCGGAAGGAAATTACAACGTAAATATGTTTAAATCTAATAACAATATTCGAATGAAGAATATTCTTTTCGATAAATTCTCTAAAGGCAGTCTACTTTGCCCTTAACCTGGCCACTTTTCTGATTATTTATTTGGATATATAATTGTAGAACCTGAAGAGAACTTATCGAAAAAAGTATTCCTCGTTCAAATATTAGTCGTTTGATATGAGGAGAATCTTTAAAGGATTAAATCTAATAACTCGTATTACAAAACGGAAAACCAACTTATCTTTATTGGTGGGTTGTCGTTTCACTTGTTTCTCGTGAATTTTAGCTGGACATCAACTCCCTATCTAGTGAACATATAGTTCTGTAAATGGCTCAAACCAACAATTAGACTTCATGGGTTTCATTCCTTGTTTTACAACCGTATGGCGTCTTCAGTTTTAGTTCTGTGGGGAAATGTTTGAGCACACAATAGTTATGTATACGTAGTACATTAATCATTCAACTCAGTTAATAGAGGTTTATAATTCCGTTAATTACTCTACGAAACCTCATTATTCAGTTAGTTAGTATGACTTACCGCGTACAGGTTTCTGTAAACGGTTGTTGCTTAGTTACTTACGCCTGTTACCCCTCACGGAGGAGCATAGGCCACCTACCAGCATTCTCTATCTACCTCTGTCCTGAGCAATCCTTTCCAGTTGCTATTCATCCTTTCGATGTCTGCTTCCAATTCCCGACGCAGTGTTTTTTTGATTTTCCCCTTTTCGGTTTGCTTTCAGGATTCCAAGTTAGTGCTTGCTTCGTGATGCAGTGTGATGATTTCCTCAATGTATGTCCTATCCACCTCCAGCGTCTTTTCCTAATTTTCTCTTCAGATGGAAGCTAGTTTGTTCTCTCCCACAGTAGGCTGTTTTTGATAGTGTCCGACCAACGGTCACCGAGTATCTTGCGTAGTAAATTGTTTAGAAGTACCCGTACTTTTCTGATGATGGTCGTAGTAGTTCTCCAAGTTTCAACTCCACATAATGGAACTGTTTTGATGTTCGTATTAAATATTCTGACTTTGATGTTGGCTGAGTTGCTTTGAGTTCCTTATGTTCTTCGATTGTGGGAATTCTACCCTTGTTTTACAAATCCATGCCTTCATATCTGCATCAGATCCTCTTGTTTATCAATAGTGATACCCAAGTACTTAAAAGCTTCCACCAGTTCCAGAGTTTCTTCATCAAGTGTGATGGGGTTGGTGTTCTCCGTGCTGTGTTTGAGGATCTTGCTCTTTCTCTTCTGCATGTCGAGACCCATTGCTCCAGAGGATTTCGCTACACTGGTTGTCTTGACCTGCATTTGTTGGTGTGTGGCTGCATGCAAGCTATCCATTGTATTCCGTGCTTCCCCTCCAATGTCGAGGTCTTCATAATCCAGTCAACCACCGGAATAAAGAGAACGGATGATAGTAAGCAACCTTATCTGGCTCTGATCCTCATTTGGAACGGGTCTGTGAACTGACCTCTGTGCACCACTTCGCAGAGTAGTGTATCGTAAGGATCTCGTATAATGGTGAAAATCTTCCCAGGTATACCATAGCAGAGAAAAAGGTTCCACAAGGTTCTCCTATCCACGCTGTCAAATGCTTTCTCATAGTTGAGGACGTTAATGTATAGTCACGAGCTCCATTCAATTGGTTGTTCGACGATTATCCACAGTGTCGCGATGTAGCCTGTATACGACCGATCCTTACGAAACCCAGCCTTTAAATCTCGAAGTTTGGCGTCTACTGAGTCTTTTATTCGGTTCAACAACACTTGAAAAATTTTCTTGGAACCGATAGTAGTGTGATGTCTCTGTAGTTCTCATACTTGCTCAGATCTCCTTCCTTTGGTATCTTGATGAGGTATTCTTCTTTCCAGTCTGTCGGCACCTTTTCTTTATCCCAGATCTTCC